TTTTTTTTTTTTTTTTTTTTTTTTTTGGTACCGGGGATCGAACTCAGGACCTTGCTCTTGCAAAGCAGGCGGGAAAACCACTAAGCTAAAAATCCCCGGCAAAAGTAAATGCTTAAACATTTGTCATGTCATGTTTCAATTTTTAAAATATGTGACTGTTAAGTGAAAGTTGAACTGCAATGCCCATTGGAACTCTGGTTTTCACTCTGCTGATTGTTTTTAAAAATTCATGGATATGGTCTCTTGAGAGCTCATTTTACCTATTATATATACAAAATATGAAAAAAAGTGATATTAAATGAAGAGGAACTTAAATGTTTTAAATAATCTTTACATTTAAAATAGTTATTAGTTTAAGATTGCAGACTTATCTGGGCTTCTGATTTTAGGATAATACAATTCTTGCTTGCCTTTATTTTTATTGTATAAAATAAGGATCATCTCTAACAAAGCCACTGTCTTATTGACAGCTCTGGAGCCTCCCAGCTCAATTGCCTGGGATTTATCCAAGATAAAATTACAGTGTGTGCAACAAATGACTCGTATCAGATGACACGAGAAAGAATGACCCAGGCAGAGGAGGAATCCCGCAACCGAAGCACAAAAGTTATCAAACCCGGTGGACCATATGTAGGTTTGTATAGATGTCTTTCTTCCTCCCGATGATTGATGGGAGTAATTCAAGCTCACTGTAGGTAAATACTGGTAATGTTAACTTTATAAAAACACACAGCTTCGTTTTCAGAACATTGTGCATAACATGGTTCCCCCAAAAGTTCATTTATTCTCTTTAGACTTCTGGTAAATGGCAGAACAGACTTGAAGGTTTTGTGTCCTTTAAATCTTGAATCCTCTGTTGTCTATTTATTATTATTTTACAGTCCTGGAATCTGTTCACATTACTGCTTGAGGTTGTAACAGGGCTACTGTTGTGTTTTCTTTGTCATTGGATGATGTAATTTCCATGATGGACAGTATGGTTCTTGTTTTACACTTTCATAGAACTGTTTTGACAGTAAACTCTGTTAGTTGAATTTCTAAGCTGATAGCCTTATTATTGCAGATTTTGTATTTTCAGGAGATCTTTGTACAACAAAGAATTTTTATTGTAAAAGTGTACAGTGTGCTTATGGCAAAGCAGTACAGTAAAGCATTAGGATGATGACTCTTTGGTACCACAATTATGATCCTCATCCTCATGTATCCATTAATTAGAGCCTTCCCCACTCCCATCATCTTTATCATCAGTTCACTCAAGTATGCATCAGATTGAAGGGAAGGCCAGATGAGTCTTCCTTTCAAGCAGTGCCCTGAGCACCTTTGAGGAGTCAATGCAGGCTGACTATTCCCAGGAACAGAATGATCAAAAGTAAGGAGGAGCTCTTTGAGGTCCTGGTCAGTTTTATAACACAAGTCGCTACAGTAAATGATGAAAGGATATTAATTTGAAAACTCAAATGCTTACAATAAGTCTTCAAGAACCAAATCCCTTAATCAACATCTTTTCAGCTTTAGTGTAATTCTTCATCTGTGTTTTCCATCTGCTGACCCAACTACTGTATATTCAGCTTTGAGAAACTCAACTAGTGCCTTTAATAAGTATTTCTGTGGAACAAAGCCAATGCTCCTGGGACTTGATGCTTAGCTTAGATACATTAAGTTTGGTTTAACAACAGTTCATGGCTTCCCCAGGTGTCTGGGCCCAGGGGGCCCAGTTCCCTGCCTAGTAAGTTACAGCAATGAGATTTTTCACCTTTTCTCTCCTATTGAGTGAGACAACAACTTTCAACCTCCTTTCTTTCTCTTTTCTCCTCATAAGTAACTTAATTAGCTTTCTGTGCTAGTAGGCTAAGTCTCGAGTTACTTTTAAAATACCTTAAGATCTGCCACACTTATCTTAGGCACAAACTATAAATTATCTGTCCCTGTTAGGAAGTGTTATTTTAATCTGTCCCATACCATGATTTTAGAAACAGTGGGGTAATTGGATGTGTATGTCGAAGGACTAGAAAACGTAAACTATAAAGGTGATTTTTCCCTTCCAGTCTAATCGGCTGAAAACTCAGTTTGAGTCCAAAGCTTGAATGTCAGCACTGATTACTGAATCAGCGTTTTCACCAAATGGTCCACGTGTATCCCCTATTTTGATATGCTTTTGTTTATTTTGATAGGCTCAGATGCTGTTCAACAGACTTATCAATGCCTACAATTTCACAAGCTATATAATTGTATGGAAATTCAAGAATTTGCAAGGTGTCTTATAGGCATAATTTCTATGAATTTTGAGAGTGGCCATAGGAAACTTGAGGTTTTCAAACTTTAAATCTGAACCAAATTCCGTCTCCACCCTTCAAAGGACTGTCCTTCCCCCAGAGCCCTGCAGTGATATTTGCAAGCCCAGTTGTCGCATTCGGCCTTTTCCTCTGTGTTTCGTCCTCTCTAACCTGATAACACACTGCCATAGCACAGTGTTCTTCTCTGGGCTTAAATATTGTTATTAACCTCTTTAGTCTTTTATTCTCTGGGGCACATGACTCCAGCTCCTTTTCACTTTTCTTAATATGGCCTATATCTCAACCCTTTAATTATTTTTATTGTTCACCTCTGTCCAAACTGGACATGCTAATTCTTAGCAAAAGTCTGATGAACTCTGAAGACTTGTATCCTGATTGGAAGTTCTTTTGTTTTGGTTTTTCACTATCTTGTTATGTCATGTTTGATTTGATCTTTTTCTTTTAATCATATCCATTGCAAGTCCTTTACTACATAGTTATTTCCTGCTAGCCAGATTATTTGCATCTTCTTTCTTTTTTCAGTATCTCAAATCTGTTTGGTTCATTCAGTTCTTTAAAATGTTAGTCACTCTTTAATACTATTATTCAGCACTTATTAGGTCCTTGGTACACAAGGCATTGGTTAACACCTTACATGTAGTTACTCATCTGAATCTGCTCTGTGAAGTAGGTTATTAATACGTCTCCATTTTACATATCAAGTTGTTGAACTCAGCAAAATAGCAAATGATGTGAGCCTGGCCTCATGAACACATTGTGTTCTCTTCCTAAAAGAGCAGGAAATAAACCTGTACTTCATAACTGACTACACCATATACAAGGGCACCAAGACTCACCTCTGCCAACTTGGGTACCTGCAGAACAAGGTTTCTTTCAACACTGAGCTGGGTAAAGACAGAGGACACTACTGCTGGTCCCACTGTACTGTGGTGGTGGCGAGGTGCCAGGCCAGCCTCTGACAGCTGAACTGGGCCCCAGCCTCACTTAAGGGATGAGGCTTTGTCCTAGGAGCCTAGAAGTTGAAGGGAATAGGGACTTCCATTTCCCTCTTGTGGGCTGGGAAAAGAAAACCTCTCACCTAGGCAGGAGCCAGGGAACATTACCTAGAAAACATTACCCATTCAGTAACATTTCTACCTCTGGTGATATGTATGCCAGTGGTAAGCATTACCAAATTGTTATTACTGCTCCTCTTTGTTTAAAGAAAAGAAAATAACATCACTTTCCTAGTTTCCCAGTGTTAAGACTACTCATTGAGTCCTACCTAAATTATGAATTGTATCACATTGCAAATCCTTATATTTATTTATTATTTATCTAGGTATATAAAATAACTCAACCATCCTAATATCTAGGATTCTGTTTTCAGTTTTCCCAGCTTCTGCTCATGGTCTCCTTATTTTTGATGGGCTATATATTTAAGTGACTGGACAAATCATTTGCCATCTTAATTTTTTTCCAGTAGTAGAGAAGGAGAATTTGAAGTAGATAATATCTAAAGTCCTTTGTAGTTTAACATTTTGTGTCTGATATGTATCACAAATGCCAAATGGTAGAGATGGATTCCTTTGCAGTGGATTATGTGTTTAGTAACACAGAGACCACATTATTGTCATGACCCTGGCTGATGTTTCTTGTTTGTTTTTTTTTAATAAACCTAAATAACTGGCTTTTTAAAAAAATTTTGTTAAAAAAACAAAATTTCATAATAATAATGAGAATAACAATAGTTAATACATTGTCTATTGTTGTCTTCAATGTACTCAGAGTAAAAGATGTAGAAAAGGATCTCTTACAAAACAGAGATAAATATATTAGCACAAAACTTTCTTTTCAGTGAGCTAAGAGAAACTAGTCATAGAAACGTTTGGGTTGTGTTGCCAGGGCTTCTGGTCAGGTTCTGCAGACAGAAAAACTATGGAAGACACCTACAGACTGCTGCCTTTCTGATGAACTGCTCTGACGTCTGCCTTTCAAATTGTTTACTCAGAGCCTGTAGACTGAGGGATAAATACTTTTACCGTCTTGTGTTAAAGGAGGAGCTAGAAGTAGACTCCTTGTTATGAAACAATGATGCCGACATCCCAGATTGCTCAGCCCTGTTGGTACCATCGGTGCTGCTTATAAAAGAGCCCAGGGAATTGATTAGCAGTTGGGTCTAGGAAGAGAATTAGGTTTTCCCATAGGCTTTATTAAAAGGGCTTTTCTAAGGCAAATATTAAAAATAAAAATAAAGCTATTCTGCCTGCTTTGAACCTGATATATTCCTACTGTACTTTTTCCTTTCTGTAGCATCTCAATTCTGTAAATATTCACATCACTAATGTTTTCTTCTTCTGTAACTTGCCCTGCCTAAAAGCTGAGGGCTCCCAGGTTGAATAGGCACAAAAAAGGATGAGGAATCAGTGAACAAGTGATCTTTGAGTGTACTCAGTGACTCACGGTGGTTGAATTGTTCTTTCAAGCATCTGAAAGAAGTGGGCTACCCCGTAACTGGCTGTCTAAAAGAAAAAAGAGGGAAAAGGTGAAGTGAGTGTATTGAAGGAGACAGCAACCTAGCTCTAGGCCTCTGGTAAGACTCCAACTCTATCCCCTCTGAGCAGACTAATTTTTATCAAATACGTGCATTCCCCTCTTGAGGGCACCGATAACCTCCTTTATTTGTTTCTGTTTCCCATGTGGTTACTCCTTGCAGTGGTTAAGGAGGAAGGCAAGCACCGCAGACCCTGAGCCCTTCCAAGACCCAGGGGCAGAGATGACATAGGCACACAGGAAGGAGGACAGCAGCAGGCCCATCACTCTGCTTTTATGTGTGTGAGCTTTGCTGGCTCAGATTCATCCTAAATGACCAGTCAGCTTGGTCAGGAAAAGGGTGACTTAAACAGTTTTATTTTATACAAGACTTGGCATATGGAGAATTTGCTAAATGGAGAACTTTTTATGACCATGACCCGTGTTTTGTTTTGTTTTTTCCACAAATTTCTACAAAATTTTCAAAGAATAGAAATCTTAACCCGATGACAACTGAGAAATATGGTAGATTGGAAATTTTGCTTTTAAAATTTCACTTTAAACTGGGCATGGTGGCGCACACCTATAATCCCATGTGCTGGCGAAGTTGAAGTAGAAAAGAATCCTAAATTTGAAGCCAACCTGGCAACTTAGCAAGAACTCATCCCAAAATAATTTTTTCAAATGACTGAGACTAAAAGAAAAAGAAGAAAAAGAAAAGTCGGGCTGGGGATGTATCTTGGAGCTCCAGAGTTCCATAACCAGCACCACAAAAAAGGAAAAAAATCTCTTTGGGGATTTCATTTTGGCCTCTGGCTCTGGCATCCTGGCAGTGTGGACAAAGCTGCTTATTTGCTGTCTTTCTGTCATTTACTTAGTCATCAAATACTGATTCAGAGTCCGCCAATGGACAAAGCAGCCACGGTCCTGTCCTCACAGAGCTTACAGTCTCACAGGAAGCAACAGCACAACCTGAAGGATTTGTTCACAAGACCTTTCCCACAAAGCAGTACCAGTGAGGACATTTGGGTCTCTCAGTCCCAGAACCCCCCTATGCTAAGTGAGCACTTTACAGATCCTGGTGAGCCTCAGACTTCCCACTGTGACATGGGGACAGTGTTTGCCTCTTCCCATGACTGTGAGACTTGGCGACATGATGTGTGTGATGCTCCGAGCACACTGCCTCCCCACGTAATTGGTGCATAATAAGTATTAGTTCCCTTCCCATCAGACATTGATCTAGCTGTCTCTACATTATGAAGAATACAGAGACCAGATCTAAGTCTGTCTCTAAAACTAAGTAACTTAATTTAGTAGTTTTCTTCTCATGAGACATTGTCCACTTAGCATTGAGTTCCTTTTCTGTATGGTGGTTTGATATGATCCCTGTGAGTAGTTATGTACAAATAGTAAAGAAAGGAACCAGCTGGTAGTGGTTTCCTAAGAATAGTCATCCTTTTTCTCTTACTTGAGGTAGGATGATGTCCAAGTACTCCTCTGGCCAGGCCCAGGGAACCCAACATGGACACAGTTAGTGCTCAGGAAAGCTGCTGCCCTGGTAAGCTGATTCATAGCGAATGGAGGTTGCTTTTAGTTACCCATTGTTCCTAGTTGCTAGTCCTGTTCTTAAGGTAACCACCCTACATCACATGTCACTACCAATTATTCCCCCACTTTAACCACAAAGCATGAAGTTGGCTTCATGTTTACTAAATGAGCTAAAAGAGTCTATCCCAAAATCATAAAATGATAGTGTTATGAATTTCATGTTCCTTTTCCTTCCTTCAGCAAGGATTGGTACAGGGGTCTCAGTGACCAGCAACCAGTGACACACACACAGAGTAACCAGGTCACTTCAACCCACACATTCTCCAGAAGTAGCCACTTGCCAAGGGTCAGTGTTCGGTCCAAGCAGAAAATGAATCACCTTCATGAATGGTACCAGCCCATGAGTAAATGGTGTAAAGGCCTTCTTTGTACCATTTTCCATTCCTCTAACTCATCTGTGTAGTCCAGCTCCACAGAGGAAAGATTTGTTTGGCCTTCTGAGATTGTTTTGTTTGTTGACTGGTTGGTTGGTTGGTCGGTCATTCGGTCGGTTTTATTTCTTGACTTCCAAAATTTGCTTTAGCCTGTTGAAAGAAATAATACTAGTGTATGTTGATTCCCCTCCTTGTAGCTTCTAAATCTGAAATTATTAAAAGTAAAACCCTGGGTTTGCCAAGAGTATTCTCTTACTGAGGTCGGAGGTAGTTTTCACATTTCACCATGTTCACTGTATTCACATCTGCGTTTCAGAAATGGCTTATATAATGTGCAGATCTAAGTTCTGTAAATAGCACAGGTGAGCATGGAAATTACCTTATTTCCATTTAACATCAAATAACCTACAGTCTAAAAGTTTCTAGTCTGTTACAGTTTGTGTCACTAATTATTATCCATGTATAGTTAAGTGGCCAAAATCCATCTATAATACCTATTATTCCAAGAAAGGAGTCCATCAAAGATTTCTAATTCATATTTTAGGCCATCTGTTAAGAATACATTGTTTGTTTCTTTAAATACAAAAATTGAGATAAAGTGGCCTTTATTCCTCCAGAATTGAAGAGTTGTGGAAATTGAAAGGCTTTTGTAGCCCACAAATGTGTAACTGTGTCATTTCCACTGGACTTTAGGGAAGAGAGTGCAGATTCGGAAAGCACCTCAAGCGGTCCCAGATGCAGTGCCTGAGAGGAAAAGGTCAACACCCATGAACCCTGCAAATACAATTCGAAAGACACATGGCGGCAGCAGTGTTACTCAGCGGCCATACAGGGACAGAGTGATTCACTTACTGGCGCTCAAGGCCTACAAGAAACCCGAGCTGCTGGCCCGACTGCAGAGAGACGGTGTCAATCAGAAAGACAAGAATTCCCTGGGAGCAATTCTGCAACAGGTGAGAGCAGCTTAGTCTTCTGCTTACCCTCTTGAGAAGTTCTCTTAGCAGTTATTATTGAGACAGAGAAATTTCAGTCATTTTGATTAATGGTATATGAAAAAAATTCCTGATAATTAAATCACCTTTTTATGCATTTAGCTAAAAACTAAAATGTAGTTAAAATTTAGGCATTGTCTTTATTTTGGTCAAATAAATTTTGCCCTGAAATGCCACTAAAATGTAAGCAAGAAGTTTTTGTTCTCTGCTTTTAATCTTGAATCACCTAAACTATTGCTTTACTTTTCATTGGTTTATATAAAGTTGTAAGATACTATTCTGTATTGGTCTCCAGTTGGTATAGGCCAGAATATTTTTGCCTACTAAGTAGTAGAGAATGTCTCTTGCATTCATACTCCTCGTTGCCCTTACTACAGTGCCTTTTCTCTGCTTCTCAGTAAACCAAGATCAGCCCCTTGTCTGCATTATTGGATATGAATATGTAAAAGCATTAGCTGTGGTCATTTACCTTATAATCATAAGCTTACAGATTAGCAGTCTAATTCTCATTATTTCTTATATTAAAACATAATATACAATGTTATACAGTCCAATTCAGGATTAGCCAGTCTCTTAGACACTTTGGTCATCTCAAGCATCTTTTTTAAATCCATCAAATACCTTTTGGGAGCAATTTAAATCCATATGTCATGTAGCAGTTTTAAGAGACCAAAAGAAAGGATGACAGAACAAATTGGGATGAGGAGGGTGTGTGTGTTTTCAGTCGTTACCACAAAATACTTGGTTGTGAATTACCTTCTAGTTTGAGGATGGAGAAGGCAAAATGATGACAGAGATTGTTCTCAGAGAGGCCACTGCTGATAGATGGCAGTAGCTTTGTGATTATATATCTGTGCATAGGTAGATCTAAACATGTAAATATTCTTAACCCTGAGCAAGTGAGGCATAAAAGTCATTAAAGTGTTGGTCGCTTGGTAGAATCTAGAGTGTAATTTCTTCCTAGCTATATATTAGAATATTCCAGAGAGCTTTTTAAAAAATGCCAGTGCTGGAACTCTACCCTAGACCAACTAAAGCCAAGTATCTGAAGACCACCTGGGCACCAGTATTGTGTAAAGCTCTTGAGTAACTCTAATATGTGATGGGGGCTGAAAACCACTGGTCCAGTGAAAACATACATGCAACCGCTAATAACATCTGCCATTGAGGGGTGGGTATACTGTGAGCCAGGTCCTGCTCTCACAGTTCACATTCATAACCTCATTTAATCCTCTGAAAGAAGGTAACAAAGGCACAATCGGAACTTTGACTTACACTAAAATATTCCCTTAGAACATTCCTAACAGCTAATATCAAATGACGTGTGCTCCAGTGAAACTGACCAGAAGCAGGCATGAAAGGGAGAAAACCAGAGTAGCAAAAATATACAAATCATCCAAAACTGGTAATTCCACTCAATGCAAACTAGTTGGCAAACTGGGTGCCTTGCCTTGCCTATGCTGATAAAGGTATTTGCTGATTTGTTATTTATATAGTAGTTTTCAGTACTCTGTGTTTGTTAATTTATCAAAGTAACAGGTTTTTAGAGTAACTTAAGATGTTAGCTCTCTGTAAAAGTTGAAAGAAAGATTATACCCAAATTTTAAAACATTTAATGTTCATCAGGAAATTTGGTTTACTACTGTTTGTTGCTAAACTGTTACATATTTATAAAGCTTTCTTAGAATGAATACTTTCTTGGAAAAAAAAAGAAATTTTTAAGTCAAGAAAGCAACTATATAAACTGAATAATGTTCTTGAGCTTAACATTTGGATATTTAACACAAGCTCAACATTCATTCATTAACTTCAATTTTTTTTTAAGTACATTTGGCCCTCCCCTCCACATCGATGGATTCAACCAACTACAAATCCAAAATATTTGGAAAAAAATTGTGCCTGTACTGTACATGTACATATTGTTTTTCCTACTGTTATTTCCTAAAATATTTGGGGGAAAAATTGTAGCTGTACTAAACTTGTATGCATTTTTTTTTCTTGCCATTATTCCCTAAACAATGCAGTATCACAACTATTTACGTAACATTTGCATTGTATTAGGTAGTCTAAGTAACCTAGTGATTATTTAGTTAAATGGAAAGATGCACAATCTGTACCATTTTATTTGAAAAACTCTGAGTATTTTGATATCCATGGGGGTCCTAGAACCCATCTGCTGTGGATTTGACAGCTGCCTGTACCTGCAGTATATCAGATACTGTTGTAAGTGTTGGGATCCCAAAGTGACCCCAACGCACAATCCCTTCCTCCCTGGAGCACATCTGTGAGACAGTTTCAGGGAGAATAGGAACTTGAGAGGAGCTGAGAGAGAGATCCACTGATTCCAGAGGGGAATTCAAGGAACGCGTTTCTTGGATGGTTAATTTAACTGAAATGATGAGCAAGAGACAAGAAGATGACAAGTCAGCCTTTCTGGAATCCTGGCAGATGAGACCATTTAGGATCAGGGCCAGATTCCAGAGGACCTTTTCAGGCCCTGGGCAAGGCGTTTAGTATGTAACAAGCTGATTTAACTTTCAATAAAACCATTCAGACTTCTGTGGCATGATTAGCTTAGGAGGGAAAAACAGAAGAAACTACTTAAATGAGCCCACTACAGAAATCCAGGTATGAAGTGTTTGTTGCTTGACCTGGTGGGCACAGTGAAGATGGTGTAGGAGAGTGGACATATATGTTGTGACAAGATGTATCTATAGGTCTGGTGTAGGGAGAGGGCGAGGGAAAGAGCAGAATCTGTGGTCATGACTAGGTTTTCAGCCCGAGCAACTCATGGGTATTGAGCCACTCACTGAGAAGAGATAGAAAAGGAACAGGTCTAACGCCAATGCAGAGTGGTGTTCAGAAATTCTCTCTTAACATACATTCTGCTTGGAAATTCTTCATTAGACATATCCAAATGGAAAGAGAGGTCACTAGGTAATTGCATGTGAGGTTTGGTCTGCTGTTCAAAGGACAGTTCGAGCTGAAGCAATAAATTGAGGAAAGAGCCCATATAGATTGGGTATTTAGAAACTTAGAGTTGAATGAAACCATCTTAGACATAAAGAGAATGAAAACAGCAGGGCAGAAGACAAGCCCTGAGCATTCCACTATATAGAGCTATGGGCTGGGGTGTTAATGTGCATTTTGGAGGAGTTCAAAAATTGAAGAACTATTCTATTTATTCCACTTCACGAAATCTGCTTGTAGCCTACACTTTATTGGTAAATTTCAATTTTAAAATCAGCCTACTATTTCTACTTTACAACAAGTTTAATATTAGATTAGTATTTCACTGGGCTGTGAGGGAGGCACACATTTTATACTACTTGTTAAAAACACAGAAGTCAAGTTATTAAAAGTGCTGTCCCATCCCTAATCTAACTGTCAGGCAGGAATATCTTTCTACTTAAAAATTACTTCTGGTTTAGCACCTGAAGCCATACATTTATGTAAAATGTAGTTAATGGATTATAGACTTCAACTCTATGAATTATATTTAAAGGATAGGAAGAGATTATACTTGGGGATAAACCATCTGGCTAATAACAGTTATTTGGGGTTTTTTGCCTTTTTCTTTTTTTTTTTTTTAGTTTATGTTTCCATTTGTTGGTTTGGGGAATTTCAAGGAGTTCTAATAAGTGGTTCTTCAGGAGGCCTGTCAGATACAAGGAGCGAGCCTGAACTTGGTTATCCAGAAGAGGTTATTAGAATTGACGCTATTTACAAAGACAATTTCTGAAGACCGCTAAAAGGAAAGGATAACTCAACATTTGTTCGTTGCTTATTTTCTGCTTAATACACATGATCAGGGATTTTTACTGTGACTCAAAAGTTGTGGAGAAAATGACAAGAAGTAAATAATGGTTTTGCTAATAGAACTTTTGGGTCCTTTTGACTAGGGAAAATAGATTTCAAAAAATTTTTTCCTCCATTTTTCTTCCTAGAGTGGCTTTATTATTTGATTGGAAACTTTGCAAGTGAAATGATCTTCCGGGAAAAAAATACGTGTTATGTTTTCAACTTCCCAAAATGAAATTGAATGACATTTCTTAAGATCTGGCATATATAAAACTAGCAGTCTCTTTAGGGCCAATTTGTATAATTATTTTCAGTCTACATCCTAAAGGTCATCTGTTTTAAATAGTTAGCAAAAGTATCTGATGTTCTTTCTTTACATTGCACACCAGGTAGCCAATCTGAACCCTAAGGATCTGTCCTATACTTTAAAGGATTATGTGTTCAAGGAGCTTCAGCGAGACTGGCCGGGTTACAGTGAAACAGACAGGCGGTCATTAGAGTCGGTGCTTGCTAGGTATGTTCTTTTGTTCCATTTTTTTCTTTAAAGATGACGCAAATAAGTAATCGTTTCAGTCCCTGTTATTCTAGTGTTGATGGGAGAAAGAGAAACAAGGGAGAGCTTTCTATTGTGAACATTTTTAAATTTCTCTTTAATTATCTGAAATGTGTGTCCTATACAGAAAACTAAATCCATCTCAGAATTCTGCTGGAACCAGCCGTTCAGAATCTCCTGTATGTTCTAGTAGAGATGCTGCCTCCTCTCCTCAGGTATGTGATAAAGTTATAAAGCCATACTGCTTGTCAGAGTACTTAATGCATACCTTGCTTTTTTTTCCCCCCTTATGACTTGAGACAGGATCTCACTATGTAGTTCAAGCTAGCTTCAAATTCACCATGTAGCTGAGGCACACCTTGAACTTGCAGTCCTCTTGACTCAGCCTCCTGAATTCTGGGACTACAGATGTGTGCCACCATGCCTAGCTTACTTTGCATTTTGAAGTGTATATTTTGTTAGATTACCTACTTTTCAGTTTGATCATTATTAGAAGATTTGTCTGGTTCCATCCAATTCTCAGATTATATCTGAGAATATCATGTGAAACACATTCTAGAAAAATATTCTTAGGGAAAAATGTATTTGCAATAAGCAAATAAACAACAAGAGCTCTTTCCAGTTGGATCTGGACCAGAATACTCCTAATCAGACTGACTATTTCAATTTACTTTCCCCTGCAAGAAGAGCCAATCCTACAAAAGGTTGGAGGATGGACTGGGGATTTAGCTCAGTGATTCTGCTGCCTTCCTCACAAGCACAAGGACCCAAGTTCAATTCCCGGTACCAAAAAGAGGTTGGAGGAGGTCCTGAGCAGGGCTGGAGTTGAAGTGTACTGCTCCTCAGCTGATCAACCAGTGTTCCAGCTACACCTGAGTGATAGACTTCTAGTATCCTGAGTATTTTGGACAGACAGTGGGAAAGACCTGCCGTCTCCTGCTATGTTCTCTGTCCCTGGACCCTGTCCCTAAGAAATGGGGAGAAGCAGACAGATGTGTGGAGGACAGGAGGCGCGCCTCCTGTCAAAAGGCTATTCACGTGCCAGAACATGTTAGAAACCTATTGTGAGGGTTGAGGGAGGGGGTTTTCCTTGCATGTCTCTTGTCTGTAGAAGCCTTACCTTTAATGCCACGCTACTTATCCTCTGATCAAATTACATAGCAGGGGAGTTGAGGCCAGCAGGGGCTGCTTGGTGAGTTCAAGATAGCTAGACTTGGGCCGGGGATTTAGGTCAGTGGTTCCACCCGAAGCAAGGTCCCAAGTTCAATCCCTGGTTCCAAAAAAAAAAGCTAGAACTTTACTTCCTTGCCTTTATATCTTTTAGTTTCTTGCCTCTCTATCTTTTAAGTAAATTTGCTTGCACCACATAAAAAAAAGAAAAAATTACATAGCAGCTGCCAAATGGTGCTAAATTAAAAACAATAAATTAGTGGGTTGATTAATATTTTCTTTCAAGCTCAAATATAAACTACAGTGTACATTTATACATAAACATGGACTTAAGGTTTTATACTTTTGGCTATTAAATCGCCTTTCGACTTAAATATTGTTGCTGTTATTGAACTGAGCTGATATTAGCATGATTCTTTTTAAAAAGTACTCCCACATTACTTTAATGGACCAGATATAAATACCTTACAGTATGGTGAAGAGATATCTAAAAATTTATTTTAAAAATTGTAATAGCATTTCAACAATGATAGGGATACTTACATAAATTGCTCTGAAAAGGTTGACTTTCCATTCTAAGACAGGTACAATGATAAGTGACGGCTAAAATATTCATAATTGGAGCCTTTCAGCACATTAGACATTTTCTTTTGCCCAGCCTTGTTCTCAACTCAAATGGTACCAATTGCTTTCTCTCCCCATATAATAGAATTAGACTACCAAAGGCCAGCATGGAGGGTGGCCACCTGTGTTCAGTACCCTCATGCATGGTCTAATCCACATAAATTGCATAAATGCTTAGGAATTTATGATGAGACTGAATGACCAGAAAGAACTGAATATTTGCCAGATTTTGCTTTTGACATTAGACATGAAAATTTATTTTACTTGTGGTTTGGTTTGGAGTCACTATAGAGTTTTGTTTTGTCTTTGCTTAAGCCTGGAGAAAAATTAGTATGAAGTAAGGTTACTCAGTTGTTTACAAGATATATATATATTTTACACATATATTGAATTTACTGAATTTTGGTACAAACTGGCTCATTTTTCTTTTCCCTTTCCCCCTCAGAAGCGGCCTTTGGATTCAGATTTTATTGATCCTTTAATGAATAAAAAAGCTCGCATATCTCACCTGACCAGTAGAGTGCCACCAACATTAAATGGTCATTTGAACCCCACCAGTGAGAAATCCACTGCTGGTCTCCCTCCACTCGCCACAGCTGCTGCCATCCCCACCCCTCCACCACTGCCTTCAACCCACCTGCCTGTCTCCAACCCTCCGCAGACTGTAAACTCTAACTCCAATTCCCCTAGCACTCCAGAAGGCGGGGGGACTCAAGACCTACCTGTTGACAGTTTTAGTCAAAATGGTAGCATCTATGAGGACCAGCAAGACAAATATACCTCTAGGACTTCTCTGGAAACCTTATCCCCTGGTTCAGTTCTACTAAAGTGTCCAAAGCCTATGGAAGAAAACCATTCAGTGTCTCACAAAAAGTCCAAAAAGAAATCTAAAAAACACAAGGAAAAGGACCAAATAACAAAGCATGATACTGAGACTATTGAGGAAAAGGAAGAAGACATTCAAAGAGAAGACGAAATTGCCAAGCTGAATAACTCCAATCTGAATTCCAATGAAGGTACTGTAAAAAAAACTGACCTCTTGTGTTAAAGGAACTGAAAGTGCATACTGTTGTGCGTTTGAGATTATGCTGCTTAGAATTAATGATATTTTTAAATTAAATGACCTCTTTATTAATATTGTGCTTTTGAGCAGATTTTTACTTCATTTTACTGCTGCTTTCTAGCCAACTATTAAACATGACTATTTGAAAATGACTTTTCATCCTCCAAAGACTCCTTTTAAAAGTGGATTTTGATGATCTTTTCCTGATTTGTTAGATACTGTGCAACCTCAGTATGAATGTTATATGCCATTCTTGAACTGATTTTAACCAGACGCAATTAACTATAGAAATATTCATTTCTTAGAGAAAGTGTCACCTCTGCTTTAATTAATATTAGCACGGGGAAAATGTCAAATTCCTTATAAAATAGGTGAGGTAAAGTTACATTTGCAGACACATAACATCCTCTTCATGTGCAATGAAAGCAATTTGTCTCTTCCAAAGTTATGGGCTATTATTGGCTTGAAAGAGCTTAAAGTTTTTCTGTCTTGATTTCTCAATTTTTAGTAAACCAGCATCAACTGTGATTAAAATTTATACTTCAGGCTTTAGGAAAATTAACCACTTCAGGCTTTAGGAAAAAGCTTAGCGGCCAAATATCTAGAGACTCAAAGACACTTAAAATAATACGTTATCTCTAAACAAAAGCTGTCAGCTGAAAACTGCTTCTCTGAGGTATATTAATTTTTAAAATCTAATGGTAAACTTAGACTTTCCTTATTTAAGGACAACACCAACCAAAAAACCCTACAATATAATGTCTCTTGTGCCAGGACATAGAAGATCTAAGTCCATCCTTTAGCACTGCAGCAAATTTTAAACTCAGACTAACCAAGGCAAAAATCCCCCAGGAAACTGAGGTTGCTTAATGCTCAGAGTTGCACAGAGCTTTAGTGACAGTGATTTAAGGAGTGTTGACTTTCTGCACTGTGCCCATAACACTTTAATTTTAATGACCATTTTTGCTCTGTGAGCGGAGCTCTGATTGATCTCACTGATGTTTACAGAGGAGTTCTCAAATACTGATACAGTGCCTTTGTCGCCCTGGATTGGGTATGTTGCATGTCAAAGCATATCTTTTGAAATATTGAGACTAGTGCAATACTATAGAATGGCCTACAAGATAGGTATAAGCTTCCCCCCACCTCCAACACTCTGGTACTTGAATTTATCAAGTCAGGAAAAGCCGTGAAGAAGCATTCATTAGCCAGGTTCCTGGGTGTACTCCACGCCCTGTGCTTTCCCACCTCGCAGAGGTCCTGCGTCCCCACCACGCGTGCCAGGAGATGGAGACCTCCAGCAGAACTTGGAGTGATCTCAGAGTTGGAGACCTGAAGAAGCAGACCTAGCCTCTTTACATTCTTCCTTGAGCATATACAGAATATCTTTCCGAACCCTGGTACTCTGTATCTGTTCCCTGCCATCTGTGGAAAAGGGGGAATTGTCCTTTCCTTGTGCCCGAGCCTGAATCACATGTATACAGGTGAACAATAAGCCCACCAGGTGTATGTAACTTATTTAGTGTCATTTAGTTGCCATTTGAAATACTAAACTAAGAAGTGGATGTTTACATTTATTTTATAGCAGACATATTTTGCCAGTAGGCAATTTAGGGCTTAAGTTACTAGCTTAACTTTACTTTGAATGATAAAAAACATCCTAAAAAAATGCAAGATCTAAACATAGCCCTTGAAAATGGTGCATTGTAAATGCGATATTGCAAATTTACACAGCTTAGTCATGACTGATAGGAATTTGGGGAGTTTGCTGTTTTTCTTTTGTGTGTGTGTGTGTATGTGGTGGGGTTTTTGTTTGTTTGTTTTGCCCTTTTAAAAAAATTTTTTTTTTAAAAACCTGTTTGGTGTTATGAGGACCAGAGGTTAGAGGAGAATAAATCAATCTTCAATAACACCTTATTTTAAACCGATGGGAAAGCTTCCTATCCAATTTCACTGTCTGCATGCTAAAAAGGGTGGCAATAAAAATATAGTGACCAAAGCAGTCTGCTACCTGACTTTATTGTCTCATCTGCCTTGTCTGAAGCCCATGAAAAGTAGATGTTGATGTAAAATTTGTATCTCCCATTGTGTGGCTGCATCTGCCACCACGGTCTTTGAACTGCTAGGCAGATGCCACGACTGTTGTTGAAAGAATAGCAGATTAACCTTGGGTTAAGATGGAATTCCTTTATTGTGCAGACACTGCAGTAGCCCGGCGCTTTCACGCTGGGTGTCAGTTCTGCGGGTGCTGGTCACAGGGCCTCTGTTGTTCATGTTCAATTGTATTCCTTGCTCACTGTTGCTTATTGAGATGGAAGAATAGAATTTGAGGAGAAGTGTTCCAGACGTTTCTAATCTATTTTAGAATTACAGGCATTTGATAACCATACTAGTTGGCGAAAGCTCTGAAATTTTTTTTCCCTCCATAGGAGTTAAAGAGGGCTGCACGGCCTCCATGGAGCCTTCTTCAACAATTGAACTCCCAGATTATCTGATGTAAGTCCACCCGCCTGCCAGTGGAGAAAACAATTTAACTTTAGGAAAGTTTGCAAATTCTTTTCCCATAATTTGCAAATCAAAAAAGCCAGAAATTCCAGAAATAGAGTCCTGAAGCCACCTCTGCAATTGAAAGGCTGCCATTAAGCCTGCTGTCCCAAATCCACCCCTGTCTGCCAGAGCAGGTTGTGCCTCCCTGCTCTGAGCTGTGTTCCTTGGCTTTTAAGTATAGAGAAGCCTGTTCTTTGTTCCGGGGCCAGGCCAAGCTTTTGATTATGGGAGATTTCAGGGATCTGACTCTTCAAAGCTGACAGTCTATCAATGCATAGCCATTCACTTGGGCCCCCCAAAGGCATGGTTCACTACAAAGTGCTTGAACTTCTGCACTAGTAAGACAAAGTAGAGTTCGGTGGATTTTTCTCTTACATGCACTGTGCCCTCAAATTAATTTTAAGAGGAGACAGTAGTAAACTTCGATCATTTCACTTTAGTACCAGTTAATGCTTTTTTTGTTATAACAAGTTGATAAACGCTGAGCTGGGGACATTTTTGTTATCACAGAAAGTACAAGTTGGATGCATAATTCTAGATTTTTTTTTTTTAACAGAATAAAAGGCTTCTGTAAGAACAAAATAACTAAGTCACAAAGGCCTTGAAAAAACAAGAGTGAAAGATACCTTTTAAAATGAACAAATGTGCAAAATAGAATGTAGAATGGAAAGCAGAATCTGGGCTGTGTGAACTTTTTCTTTTCCCTTTGGTGGCATCTGTATCATTTTTAACTTGTAACAAAGTTAAACTAAGCCGTTTGACCCTGCTTATTTCCTGAGGAGAGAACATTTTAGATTTAAAATGTGTCGCGTCTGCTTAACAGTAGTGTGAAAACTATACTTATTGAGGAAGGAGATAGCAGGAACCCGTAATGCTGGTCATCATCTCACGGGCTGCTCTGTCATCTGAGAACAGGGTATGGTTTAGAAAACCTTGACGCAAAGTAGCTTCCTCCGAGTGGCCCAGAAGGGTCGCTGGTCTGCAGCCAGGCCTCCAGGACTGCCCTGGCTCTACCGCTGAGTGGGATCCACCTCTCTCCACTGACAAAGTCTTCTGGAAATCAGCCCCCGCATAGCAACCAGCAGGATTCCACTCGCGTTCACATTCTCTTGTGAAAGATTTTGAATACCTCTTTTATTAATAGTGACATATCTTTGTTATATATGACAAAATGGTGTGGGGAGACTAAAAAATCATCTAAGCTCTTCCCTATGGATTTGAGGCTGTTGTTATGTTTGCCAACCTAATTAGTTAATTCTGTATTTGAAGAGGTTTTTTTTTATTTTGGTTACTGGTGTAAGGGTGGTTGTCACATCTGCCTCAGAGTCTTTCTGTATGTCTGTCATGGTTCTAGTGCTGCGGCTGTGTGCCTAGATAAAAGCAATTTATTTTAACCAAAGCTAAGTCTTATATAAATAAAAGTGATGAGAAAATTCCAGAAATACAGAATTTAAGTTGCATCACAAGAAATCCAAAAGGACAGAAAGCCTAAATGATCAGCTTTTGGGTAATTCATACTTAACCATAATATCATTAATTTTTATATAAGGATACTTTTCTTACTTGTGGTGGTGAGTTAGCCAGACTGTTTAAGTTTTTATGATATTACCTCATTCTGAACCAGCTGTAAAGCCATTACAGTTTTCATTGAAAATAATGAAATGCTTTTTGTTCAAATGCCAGTAGAAGCAAACAGCAACACAATTGTTGACCAGTTTGGTATTTTTTCCCCAAGAAAATTATTAAATAAAATACTAAAGGTATGATTTTGGGGGGGAAAAAAGTAGGAGAAATGTATTGTACCACAAATTAACTCTTTGAGTTTGGAGGTTGGTTTTGCCACTTGCTTGCATCTGCCTAACGCTGGGAGCCTCTCCCTCCCTCCGGCTCCCTCTGCTATCTGGGAAGGACAGCTCCCCCTGCTGGCTGGCAGTGTAGCAGGGCAGCTCTAAATCAGCACCTACCAACGTCTCAGGTACACTTCACACACTGAACCTCCACACTGTCTATCTCAGCATGAATAAAAATATTAATGAGGATACGGAGTTTGCTCACTGCTTCACTTTTCTCACATTTCAAGCTAGGCATCTGTGATAGAGCGATTTAAATAAAACTGGTAAGATTACATAAAGCCACTTGGAAACTCCAAGATGTGACCACAGTGAAGAGTGAGTGTGAACCCCAGGGTGCAGCCTCATGATCCCACAGCCTGCTTGAAATCTGAGTTTTTAATCTCCAGGAGTCAAGGAATTTCGCATTCCATGACAGGAGCAGAGTGCAGAGATCCAGGCCTGGTACCCTAGTTCCCAAATCCACAACCAAATAGTGTTGTTTAATATTAATTTACCTAGCACTGAATAAACTGACATTCTGGGAATCTGCCCTTCACTGGCCTAGGAGTATTCACGCCCCAGAAGAGAAAACAGATTTGTACATTTTATTGCGTATACTAGGCTAATGCTGGAACACTGGCTTTCTGCCACATGGAGTATGACATGTAAGTGTTTGAAAAGAACTAAAGAAGTGTACTTTTTTGTTTCTCACTTTTAAAAAATTATATACAATCCTTGCATTTTACATATTTGTCTCATCAGAAATGTAAGGAAAGGGATAGAGGTCAGCAAGCCGGAGGCATCTTGTTGAGGATTTCTGCTTGCTACAGGTCTGGAAGGCTGAAAGACAGATTCTCTGTCATAAAGGAGTAGGTCCAGGGACGGCTTTGACTTCAGCACTCTGTGTGACACTCGCCTGGTGTCACATTACCCATCAAGTCCTCTGTCTTGATGTGACTGGTGACAGATGGATTGGCCTCTCCCATCAGTGTGGTAATGAATTGGTTTGCAGAGAAACCAAATCTGTTTAAATGTTATTTTCATTTTATGTAGTCAAACATTAATTCTGTTACCACCATGTCTCTTTCACATTTACTTTTGGTCCCTGTGTGACCATTTCACCTAGAAGGTGTTTTGAAGAAGTGACCTGGCAACAGACCAGTGGCAGAGCAGCATTAAATTCTAGGGATAGCCACAGGATATAGTTTCTAGGGAGTTGGTTTTAATCTCAGACTCAGGCAATCCAGTTTGTTCTGTAGCTAATCTACATTTACCTTTCTTCTTAATAGAAAATATATCGCTATTGTCTCCTATGAGCAACGCCAGAATTACAAGGATGACTTCAACGCTGAGTATGATGAGTACAGGGCTTTGCATGCCAGAATGGAAACTGTAGCGCGAAGATTTATCAAACTGGATGCACAACGAAAACGCCTTTCTCCAGGCTCGAAAGAGTATCAGGTAAACGCATTTGCCCTCAGATGTTAGCTTCTTTCTTTCCCTGCCCACCCCATTCCCAGCCATCCCTAATGCCAGTCTTCTCACAGAGTAGCCTCTCTACTGTTTAGAAAACAAACCATTTGAAATAGTTATTGAAAATAAACACAGTTGGCAAAAACTTTGCTTGACAGTAATATAATATATAGTGTGTTGAGAAGCGTGCCAAACAAAATAGGAATCCAACTTTAAGTTGGTTATGCTGCCAACTAAATTCAGACTGCAGATCCTAGGTCTGGCACTTTCCCCAAATTGCTGTTTGAAGCAAATTTTTAAATTATTACTTTTGAAAACCTCAATCTGACATAGGATAGAGACAATACAGAGATGTAGGGTGCAAAGAGAACATAAGACTACAGAATTTTGGGTTGAGATGAAAATGAGGTGCTTCCAGCCTTTCCAGAGACCAATGGTTTGTGACCAGTATCAATCCATCTTTACTTCTCTACCATACATGGGAGTACTGTTCCAAGGAGCAATAGATGCCTGACCTGTCTCCTGATTGTTTTCATAGTTCTTAGCGAAAAGATGAAGAGAAATGAATATTTATTTCTTTGGATAAACTCGATAACTTACACACTTTACGCCATCCGTAGCCCAGGGCCTCCGTTCCAGCCCACTACCATTGTATTTAACCTATGTGGGAGAATGGGTGAGTTTTCCCACAACAGGAAAAAACAGCCCAAGACCATTTGTATCCTAGAGATTCCTTACTTAGGTCTTCTACTAGTGGGCCCAGAGCAAAAGCTGGTAATAGTTACAGACTTTTCCACAGGAATAGATATTTGCAGGTAAAAGAGGTTGGTGAAATGTGGTCTGGGGTTTATCTTTCCTACACAATCAGTCATCAGTATACATGATCATATTTAAACTAAAATGTAATTCCAAGGATTCCTTAGTGGTTAGGAGGAGGCTCTGGAGACATGCTTTGTGGGTCGAATTCCAAGCTATCATTTAATACGTGACCTTGAGCAAGTTATTTAATGCCTCTTTGCCTCAAAGAGACAAATCATAGATAATCATAGAGTTGTTGTGAGTAATAAATGTAAGTAAGCATTTATAAACGGCTTAGATCCATGCTGGGCACCTGGCACATCCAGGCTAGCTGGCTCTTTTCCCCAGCTTCCCGGCCCACCAGAGTCAGTCATTACTACTGGTGTCCGGTATAGTCTTTTAGTTCATTACAGTGTGTTTAGAAAATGTGTGTATGTGTATATGAAAGTCATCTTACATGTGTACTATATTTAATTGAATCCAAGATTTCCTAAGTTATAAGATGCATCATTGTGTTAGATCCCAGCAGCGTAAACCATGATAACCTTATTTTTGTCCCAGTTGTGATTCTCCCATTTTAGCCAATGGCATCAAGCTGTTGATATTATTTTGTACTTTGCTCTTTTCACCAACTAATACATCCTAGAGAAATTTCTTATAATAGTACAGAAAATACTTCCCCATTTTTAACCGCCTCCTAGTATCCTTTGTATAGATTTCTGAACATCTTGACATCATTTGCTGTCTTTTGCTTTTACAAATAGTGCTGCAGTGAATAACCTTGGGTGTACATCATTTCACTCAAGGGAAAGTAAATCTGTAGTATGAGCAGACTTGCTGAGTCAATTTTGCTTTTGCTATTTTGATAGCTATTGCCACATTGCCTTCATAAAGATTGTGCCAAGTTTCTGTCACCATCAACATTTTCTACACCCTTGCTGACTGCATGTTAGCTACTGTATTGCAAAAAAAAACAAAAACAAAAATACCTTTGTTTTCTTCTGATTTCTAATTTTTAATTTTGTAGAATGTTCATGAAGAAGTCTTACAAGAATATCAGAAGATCAAGCAGGTAAGTATCATCATCACCGTTGGTTTGCTAACCTGCAGTTGAGAATGGTAAATTCTGCAAACTAATTGCTCACTGTTTGACTTTTATTTTTTTATCTGCAGTCTAGCCCCAATTACCATGAAGAAAAATACAGATGCGAGTATCTTCATAACAAGCTGGCTCACATCAAAAGACTAATAGGTGAATTTGACCAACAGCAAGCAGAGTCATGGCACTAAAACTCTGCTTGGACCAGAAGATGTGAATAAACTTAAACTTATTTATTTAAAATTCCAAATGAGTTGCTCTAGATTCTAAAAAGATGAAACTTTGCCTATTGAAAGTTTCAGTATTAGTAAACTTGAGTTACTTTTTTTTTTTTTCCATTTTATTTTGCTTCCCTGCATTTTTGAAGCTGCTTTTGCTGGTCCTTTCTCTCTCTCTTTCTCTCATGACTTGTGTTGTTAATAGAAATAATTTTTTAGATATTGGGGATCCAGTGTTTATATACTTCAAATCATTTTTTTCCTTAAAAACTTGTGTTTGTCATTAGAAATGGTTTTTTTAGATATTGGGGATCCAGTGTCCACACTTAAAACTTGTGTGTGTTTAGAAAAAAAAAAAACAGTAATGTGTAAGGTGAAATGCTTTTGGATAAACATAAGCCTATTTTCTGACCTTTCGTAATGCAAACTCTTTGCCTTAAATGGTAGAATATTTAGAAATTTGCACAAAATACAAAAAAAAATTAAACATTGTTTTGGAGGGTTAACAATAGAAAGTTATGTGACTCTGCATGTGTATAGATTTTTATACACACATGTATGTCCAGGCTGACTTGGTATAGACTATTAAATCCACCCTGCAAGTTAACCCCCCACTGCAATGGTTGCCTTAAGGTGTTTGCTAGTCGTGTACATAGTATGGTTCATCATTAGCTGCACTGCTTCCCAAGGAGTCAAGCAATGGGAAGCACACTGTGGCCTACCAGCGTTAGAAAGTGTGTGCCCGACCTGTGTGTGTGCAGAGGCGGTGTGGATGTGAGCGTGCCCGAAGGACAAAGCTGCTACTCTCAGTAGGCCAAACGCTCAGGTTAAACAACTGACGAGTGTTACTGTAGGGTTTTTTGTTTTGTTTTGTTTTTCCTGTCAAATTGCTACTTCTGTTATGGAAGACAAAAGCATTTCCATTTCAACAGTTTGTCAGCTTTATTAATGTTGGACAAAAACTGATATGTTATAAAAATGAAACAGATCTATAGTTTTGAGGCAAAATTATAACATTAAATGTGTAGGTAACCTATTTATATACTGCTATAAAGTATTTTTTGAAAGATATGCAAAGAAGCTATTACCTACATGAGATGTATATTTAAAAGTTTTTTTTTTTTCATCCTGGCTGCCAGGAATATTAAAAAGTGGATATATTTAACCATAACATACTGTGATTCATCAAATAGCACAAACTTTCATTTCATGGAGTTTATCTGTTGATGCTGATTTAAACTATCACTTGTTTTATCATGTGGGAACATAAGTTATGTGGTCAAAAATATAGGATTTTGAACTAATGTTGATTCAAGTTGTGTTGTCTTATCATATTGTCTTTTCGAAGTGCTGCCAGTTGAAAAGGGAAGCATTATGTTTACAAATCTGTTTTGAAATGTTTGCCAAAATTTTGGTAGTATCTATAATAAAGATGTCTGTCTCCAGCATCCAAGAAAAAAAATAATAACTTTGTCGCGTATCACTGTAAACCAGAAAATGTTGGTAGCTAGGAAATATAAGAGAATATATACATTAACTTTTCGTTTTGGAATTCTTTCTAAAACATGAACTGGAAAGATTAGATAATATGTTAAAAGTAGTATACAAAAGTATACACATTTACTCTCACAGAGACTTTACAAAGACCCCTTTGCACTACAATTCTCAAATGTTACTGCAGAAATTTAATTTCTGTGTAGCATGGACATCCTTGGGAATTATTTCTTTTAGCGTTAAGATCCCTGGTGCTCTTCTTTTTACCTCAGAAATGGTACAATCATTATTAAATGTTAATTTATTTCAAACTCTTATTTGCAGAAAGGAACCTTAGTAGGGGCTAAATTTGGTCCTCGTTATTATGGTAGTGTCTCCTGAGGAGTTTTTCTATAGGGAGTGACTTCATTGGTGTTACTTCTCAGACATCTTGGCCCTTTAATTAGCGATTGTGTGCTGCTGTATTCTATGGTCATTGTTTCTCAGAAACAAGGTTCTTGCACCACTTGCATTACCTAAATTAGAATCTCTCCACATTTTCCCAAGTTTCCTATGGGTGACTTTTGCAAGCTCAAGCATTAGAACCATAGGCTTGGATGTGGCTCTAAACTTTTAAGTCTATAAATCTGGAATTTTTTTTTTTTTGTACCGGGAATTGAACTCGGGTCCTTGCACTTGCAAGGCAGGCTACCGAACCACTGAGCTAAATCCTCAGCCAAATCTGGAAATTTTGAACTGAAGGTCAGCTATTGGCTTTTATTTTCTTAGCTCATCTCTGTTGGCAGGTGCAAATCACTTTTCCCCTCTGCATGGCCTGAGACACCCCCCTCAGTTGTTTCACTGCCAACTCTTATTTCAGAGCCTGTTTACAAAAAACCTTCCAGTTGGTCAGTCGTTACACCTTGGAGCTCCTACCTACCTACATCAGCACATCTTCTGGTTTACAAGTTGGGTATCAGTGGGAGCTGGAGAAGTGCTGTGGAAACCCAGCATTGCACACTACAGACCTGACCACATACCAGTAAAAGCCTTAACTCAGATGTTTGTCTGTATTGGACAGATCCTTGCAAAATGTGTATCTTTCTATCAGTTGCAAATCTGAGAGCTGCAAACCTCAGCATATCCTACTCTGAGGGTTGCATCCCTTTTGAAAATGGGCATGAGCCTATTAAAATACTTATAATCCTTTTTCATCCCATACTATAAGATTTTTAGATTTTTACAAATGATTACTGCAGGAATGAGTGACCACTTGGTATCATTTACTCTGGTGGAAGAATTCAGTTTTTGTTGTTGTTTTGAGGAATACTATGTGTAAAACAGCATTGTCAATATTAAAAAATGAGTTGTGCTGTTTTGTTATCGCATTCCATTGAAAATAATTTGAAATCTTGAAGATTTTTACTAACACCCACAAACCTATTGCATATTAAGTGAGCAGCTAATTTAAACCAGACCCCGTCCCCCAAAATTAAATATGTGTGGGTTTTTTATGTAGGGATTTAACTCCTATCATATTGGTTATTTACTTCCCTTGAAATGCTTTAGAAAGACTAACTTTCAAATATTTAGGTAGTAAGAGATGCTCAGTTCTGTCACAGAGGTTATTGGTGTGGTCAGCTTTTATCATTGTTCAATGAATTGATTATAAAAATTCAGTATTAATTTTCTTTCCTCTCTGATTCATCTTATAACCTTTAGAGGAGTTTTCTTTTCCCTTAAAGTATTTCACGCTATTGTGTAAAACAAATGCAAGATGTTAAAGCGAGGTCTAGACACAGACAGCCCATCAGTTCAGACTGTGGGTGCCTTAGCCGTTACCTCAGTTCCCCGAACTCGGCAGAATCTCTGGCTGGTTCACAGCAGTGTGCATGTCGTCTGTGTGCCTGTGAAGTTGCTGCACTACTTCGGAAATGTTTGCAGTTTATTACTGGCCCAAGTGTTACTAAACCCTTTTCTCATGTGTCCTGAATGGGGAAAGTTATAGCCAGCACTTAGAGAGGAACGTTTTGGGAAAGGATATTAACTGACACTACTAAATGAAGGTGGCAGAAGATGTTGTCAGTGTTTTTGTAACCTGAAAACTGAACAAGGGTGTGAAACTCATTTAAAACTATTTTGAAGTGTTAAAAAGAAATTATATATATATATATACACACACACACACATACATACATGCACTACATGCACACACATTTATATATACGTGTGTGTGTGTGTGTGTATTTATATACATACCCAGAGATATATCTATATGCTGTTTCTCAGTTGTTCCACCCACCCGTGTTAGGCCTCTGAGGTAAAATGTCACAGGGGCTTTTCACTTGTCACTGAGCTCAGCAGCTGTGGTGGCCTCCCGTTGTTCTTCACTGATTTCAGTTCAATAAAAACGTTAACTTTGCAATTCTGGTACTCGTCTTTCCTTTCTCTCATCTCAAGGATCCTGGTCTTTAAAATGTGTGCCTGCACACACACACAGGCCACAACAACATGTTCTTCAATGTCACCATGTCAGTGAGGGATCTTCCTGAACATGGATCCTGCTTGTCTTTGAATCTAGGAAATAGCAGGGTATTTGCTCCAGGACCCCGACTGGTGAGTAAACTGAGGCTAGAAAAGAAACTTCTCAATCACAGAGCTAATAAATGACCACATCTGGGACAGCCTGACTTTTCCATACTCCCCTCCTGTCTACACAGGGCAAAACCACCAAGTGCCAATTCCAGTCACACAGGCCAACTAAACCTTTTGAGTCCAAAGAGGTAGAATTTAGGAGTCGGGTGCTGTCTGGTGGATGATTGGTGAGTTAATTTTTCTGAAGTGAATAAATTTGATGGAAGGTCAAAATACTGAGAACAGGCTGTCTCTGCTCCTTTGGAGTATGTTCAGTCTTCACAGGATATTTCAAGGGAGTGGTACAGGCAGAGAGGTAGGAGGTAAAGGTACACTTCTATAATACTGTTTTCCTTTCATATTGAAAGGCTATCCCAGGGCTGGGATTTAGCTCAGTGGTTCTGCTCCCTGCTTCGCAAGCACAAGGCCCTGAGTTCGATCCCCGGTACCAAAAAAAAAAAAAAAAGTCTGTTCCAGAAACAGACTCCAGCTTTAGGGGGTGCCCAGTTCAAATAAGACATAAGAGCACCATTAGTTTAGTAACCTGCAGACACTAAAAGTTTTATGAAAGAATGTTGGAGGAGAAAAACAAAGCTTCAGTTAAGCACTGGCATTAAAAGCCTGGAACAATTAGTACCAGCAGTGACTGGTGAGGTTTACAAGGATCCTTCGGGACGAGTGAGGCTCTGAAGGTCATTGTGTCACCAGCCCTACCAGCCCTTTCCCCACCAACGTCTGACATTGCACTTGCCTTTTAGCTGTCCTTGTACTGGGCTCTAAAATGAAAGCATGCCACCTCCCTGGGCTCGGAAAGAAGTTTCCCCATGTAAAGCACCTGAGAGGACTGAGAAAAAAATAGCTATGTAAATTGCGGGTTGTCAGTCCAACGCAATTAGGAGTGTTTGTTGAAGTCTTGTTTTCTAGAAGGATAAACCAATCTTGACTGAGTGCAACGGGGACAAAGACAGAGAGGCCTGAGGTTTCAAGGTGTGGTGTTTAGGGTTTGTTTTATTGAGTGCTTGAAATACACACACCTGCTCTTCTGGTTTTACCTTTCGAAGTTTGGGCCAGGAGGCTGGCAGAGGCATCAGGTGGCTCTGATATTTTATGATTGCTTAATAATCAAGTGGGGAGTCAGATGATTCTGCTGTGAGTGACAGTGAAGATGTGTCATTTTCACCGGCCTGCCTCATTCAACTGACCAGCCAGGCTGGTTTTTCTTACTGTAATTAGTTGCTATAATGTGGACACTTGGAGATGGGGCAATAACAACTGCATATCTAGGCCCATGAGAGGCAAGAAGTGCTTCCTAAGGTTGAGCCCACATAATGAGCCAGTGTGTTAGAAGCTGGGGCTTCTAGAGGAATGGCTGATG